ATGACCCAACTATTTTCATTTTCCAAACTCGATACTACTATTGCTTCAGCATCCTCATAACTTTCCTCACCCAATGCAACTATAGCTTGAACAGAATCTTCATTGACCTTTCTTTCAGGACAATCCCTTGTAAAGTGACCAATTTTCTGACAATTAAAACATTTTACCTTTTACTTGTCAGACCTCTTTGATTTGGACATCCCTTTATGCTCACCTTCTCCTCTTGACACATTTAAGCCTTCACCACTATCTTCAATCTTCAAATCTTTTGACTTTGAAAATTCTTTGGATTTTACCGCTCTGGACTTCATCCAAAGTAATAGTACTTTCCTTACCATAAAGAAGGGCATCCTTAAAGTGCTCAAAGGATCTGGGTAATGAACTTAACAAGAGCAAAGCCTTGTCCTCATCGTCAATCTTCACTTTAATATTCTCAAGATCATCGATAATCTTGTGAAATTCTATGAGCTGCTCAACTATGGATTTGTTCTCCACCATTCGGAATGAATAAAGTTGTTGTTTCAAATACAACCTGTGAGCCAAAGAATTTGTCGTATACAATGATTCAATTTTGCCCATATACCAACTGCAGTTTGCTCCTTGGCGACTTCTCTTAGAACTTTATCCCCGAGACACAAGATAATGGAACTCCTAGCCTTATCCACCATCTCGGTCTTCTATACCTGTGTAAGCCCTACATGCATCAATGATTCACTCTTTAAAGCATCTATACATTTCTCTTGAATTAAAATTGCTTGTATCTTAATTTTCCACAATCTGAAGTCGTTGTTACCGGAAAATTTCTCGATCTGCCATCTATTAACCATGATGCTCACTTGTCAACAATATCTCTTGGCTCCATGCTCACCGCACCACTTGTTATGAATCTTGTTGTGAATTACGATAAAATTCAATATCAATTTGTGAGGCAAAGAACAATAGCAACCAAAATAAATGGTCTACAACAATAATAATCCGCACACAGATGATATAACAGAATAAGATAAGAAAAAATCGAAGGTTTGTTTACCCAGTTCGATCAAACAATCTACTCTAAGGGAAAGATCATCTCTACAATTCACTATACTCAGAAAGTTGTTACAAGAGATTACAAATGAATTACAAGAAAATAGTCTTCGCCTTCAGGTTCCCAAGAACAACCCTGAAGGCGCCTAAGAAAAACCCTATTTTCTACCCCCCAAGTGTTTCCCTACCTCTCCAACTCTCAATATATGAATTACTCAAACCCAAGGTGTAATTCAAGGTTTTCTTTGTGCATAACTGAAACCCTATGCTATACCTTTAAATCCTTGCTCTCCCTTGTTGGTGTAAACTCTAAGATTGTCACACACCAAGCATATAAGAGATACATATTTATAATAGCAAATACCCAACAAACAAAGCCCAAAGTCACATGAATCCATGGACCGAATCAAAAAAGCCCGAAAACTTGAAAATATTATTCATTGTATGGACAACACTATTCATCGTACGAACCTCACTATTCATCCTTGCGAATAGCCCTATTCACTGTACGAACGACACTATTCACCGACCGATTTTTTTATCTCAACTTTTCGTCCGACTTTCTAAAACTTCTGATTTTCACGGTAAATGCAATCTCCAAAATATATTTTCTTTCTCTTCATCAACAAAGGTTTTAAGCCACATTTACAACAATATTTATATTCCTAACTAACAGGTTTTTGGTATAAGGTTGAAACTGATGAATAATATCTAAAGAATCTCACACAACGTAACTAAAAATGTCTTAAACTCACAACATTATAGAAAATTTTCACAAGGTTGAATCATGTAGATAGTGTGTTTGTGAATGAAGAAAACTTTCATGGTTTCTATAAAGGTTCTTGACAAATAATAAATCGAATTCTTGAAGAATATTCTGGGTGTACAATCGTAAAGATACAAACCACTTATCAAAACAATTTCTCTTCACTTGATATCACTTGATTTTTCATGATAACACATGACATCACTTATGATCATCACTTGTAAAGAGACAAACAAAAAGGTTTAAATAAGTGTTAGAGGTAGGTCACAAAAAGGTAGAAAAAACACAATGTGATTTGAGTCAAATCATGTGTTTATCATGTGAATCAAATCAAGAATGAGTTAAATAAAATGTAGTCAAGTGAATAATTTGTTACTTTTGTGATTTGAATCATGTCTGGATGTGTGATTCGAGTCAAACAATGTATGATTCGAATCACACTTAATTTTGAAGAAAGTTTAATTTACATGATTCTAATCATCTTGAACCGCATAGGAAAGGTATTCACTTCAAAGCGGTGTTTGGTTCAAATCACAACTTGTCTAATTTGAATCAAGACTTACAAAAACCTTCATGTAAGACTTCTAACTTGTGAATCAAGATACACCCAATATTTTTACTTATATCAAATAGAAAATTCTAAAAAAAACACATTATTATAAGTCCAATTCAAATAGATTAAATGTATAGGTGTCTCTAGGTACATGTCTAACAAATGAAGCGATAATTTTACAATCGAATTACAAACGAATTATACATATACGATAAATTAAATTACACACACACACACACACACACAAAGATTAAAAAAATGAATAAAACATCAAAGTAAACGATACCGACTGCAATGCAGTTTCACATTTGAATATAGGAACTCTAAGATAGTTAAATAGTGTTTGTCCCATAGTAAATCTAAGCGTATCTGTAATGTGTCTCAGTCTGGATCCAGAAATACCTCCACCATAAAGCTTACATTTTGTTGGAGTGATGTACCAAAATTCTAACCAAATTCTTGAAGGATATGGTTAATGACTTGAACATTTTTCCTTGTAGCCTTGCGAAATATCAGAAGGTCATATGCAAAAAGATTGTAGCTATGAATGATTGTCTTACCAACTGATATGCATGTCAACTTACCATGATCCATCTACATAGATAACTTCCTACTAAGTGCCTCTACAACAATGCAGAAGAACCTAAGAAATAAATGATCTCCTTTCCTCACTCCTCTAGAATAAGAAAAAAAATCGTGGAGCTTTCACATTTATCATGAATGATAGTTTGGATGAGTATAGAATGGTAAGAATCCAATCACAAAACTTTTGATCAAAGCCAAATTGAATTAAAAACTTTAATAAGATATTGTCAATATAAAGTTTTAAAGGTTTTTCTTATGTCTATCTTTAAATACATATTTCCTCCAAAAGATTTATTGTCGAACATAATAATGACTTTTGAAGTAATATCATTGCACTCATAAATATGTTTGCCTATAATAAAGCCTCTTTGGTGTTTAGAAGATAAGGTGGTCAATCTATCTGCAATTATCTTAATGATAATTTAAAATTTAAAATATACAAGTGCAAGAGGTCTATACTGCTCAATAGAATCTACTATATGTTGATTATGTATCAAAGTCACATTTATTAAATTGAGACTAAGAACTAAGAAGGATATGACCATGTTTAAAGAAATGATTAACTGAATTGATCACATCAGTCCATACATCCCAATAGGCTTGAAAAAAATATCCCTTAAAGCCATTGGAGTTTGGAGCAAAATTATCATCCATATTGTGCATTGTATTCTTAATTTTCTATGGTTGAGGCATTCTAGTGAGATATTTATTATTACATGAGTTATAACTTGTGGGATAGTTCTTTCCACTAGATCAATATAACTAAAATTGTTTTCTGAGCTAAATAATTTTTAGAATTTAATAATACGATTATCTAATTCAGTGCCTTTTTCAAAAAATATATTTCCATGCTCGAGTATAGTGATATTGTTACCAGCATATCTCAATTTGATTCTTTTGTATAAAAAAAAGTGTATTCCTATCCCCATCCTTAAATTGCTTATTCTTTATCTTGTTTCTTACAAACTGGTCTTGTATATGCAATGCATTATCTAACAAAAGTTGAACTTTTTCCTTCGATTCAAGATCATCATTGTAACTTGCATCATTAATTATATCCTAATAACTTTATTTGTAGTTTGAGTGACTTTAAGTTGAATATTTTCAAATATCTCTTTGTTTCATTTCTTAAAAATATATTTAAGAGATCTCAACTTAGCTGATAAAACAAACATAGAGCAACCAATGACACCGGTAATTCAATTATTAGTAATCATTTGTCTGCATCTAACATCTAAAGTCCAAACCTTCTGAAATTTGAATGACCTAGCCGAATCAAACGTACCTTTGTCACAATGGAAGAGAATAGGATAATGGTCTAAGTGATTTTTGATCAAAATGTAACAATTAATTGTATTTCAATTATCTAATCAATTCTAATTATAAATAGTCGATCCAACGGTTAACAAATTTAGAATCACTAATTTTCTAAAATTAATTAGAGAAAAATAGAATGCTTGACTCATTATAAAACTATAGGTGTGCATAACTTTGCTTACAACTCATTGAAATAGATATATGCGACTTAGTGAGATGGGGCCATGTCAAACCTACCCAACTGCTGTCAATAACTTGATAATAATAAATGCATTGATGCACAAGTTGCAAGATATCTTTCTATTGGTCACTAAGAAAGTAAAATTAATGATGACAAAACAGTTAACAGCAACTAGCTGAGAAGTGAAGAAAAGGAAAACATAGCAATTCGTTTATGAAGAAGTTAGTGTTTGAAAAGTCAGAGAAAATACAATGATTGTGTTATAGAAAGTTGCATACAACATTATAGATTGAATTGGATTAGCTTCTAAGATAAGAAAAATCATCAAAACTAGAGTAGGAAACAACCAAATCAAACTTTTTTCTTTCTTTTGTCTTTTATGAAACCTCATAGTATATTGTTTTTTCACTACTTACTTCCTCTTCACCTTAAACTTTCTACACTTCTCTATGCTTTTTGCTAGTTACCATGTTGCATACAATGCATGTTCTTTCTTTGCTTGAGACGATCTTATTGTTTGTGCTATAATCAGCAATTGGTTAAGAAGTTGATTGAAAAAAAGTATTTATAACATGGAAATGCAAAGTGTGATGCTCTTTTTGGTATTCTTATGGGCTCAAGTTTATCTCATATCTTCATTTACTGATCCTCAAGATGGTAATGTTCCATCACATCCCTTTATTGATTAAGTTGTTTATTCAAAAAGTGCTTTTTTTTTTTTTATAATGGTTATATATTGTTGCAGTTTCTGCACTTAGATCTCTGAAGGATATATGGAAGAATACACCACCAAGCTGGGACAAATCAGATGACCCTTGTGGAGCACCATGGGAAGGAGTGACCTGCAACAAATCAAGGGTTACTTCATTGTAATGAACTTCAATAGAACATTATTAATCCTTTAAGCACTTTTCCAACTACTAATTTAAGAAGAATGCTTTTTTCATGTGCATTGAAAATATAGGGGACTGTCAACCATGGGACTGAAGGGTACATTAAGTGGAGATATTGGTGGACTCACAGAACTAAGATCCTTGTAAGTATTGTTTTTATCAAGGTTTTAATTAACTGTCGCGTTGCAGTCGCGTAAACATTTTCGCGGTTTCGATAGGTACAGGTGTTGTGATACTTATTGTGATCGTCGCGGTGTGAATTGACCACAATTTTTTTATCACAAAAACGGTGAATAATGGTAATAGTATAGGCACCTTCCTATACCGATTGTCGCGGCCGTTTTTGCAGTAACCGATAAAACCTTGGTTTTTATGATTCTTACTGAAAAGTATTGTAAAATAAAGGAATGAAAAATCTTCCATAGCATGTATTTGCATATTAACAATGTCAAGTCATGTAACTGCAGGGACTTATCCTTTAATAAAGGTTTAATGGGTTCTATCTCTTCAGAATTGGGAAACTTAAAAAACCTAAATATTCTGTAAGTTAGATTCATAAAATCACTTAATTTTCTAATATCATTTCAAGTGCAAGTTGTAGTAATTTGCATAAGGTTTTATACTTCATTGTTTCAGGATTTTGGCTGGTTGCAGTTTCAGTGGCAAAATTCCAGATGCATTAGGGAATCTTTCAGAGTTATCTTTCTTGTAAGAATAATCTCGAAAGAATCATTTTTACCGATGTTCTAAAAATCAGATCGAACTGGTCTGTTCAATCGGTTGAACCACGAACTGACCAAATTTCTGGTTGGTTTCGTGGTTGAACCAATTAAATTGTACTCCAGAAGTTTCACTGATTCGATCTCTGGTCCATTTTGAAGACATGCTTAACAAAATAAGTGATTCTCTCTCACTATTATTCAGGGCTTTAAATTCAAACAACTTTACTGGAAAAATACCTTCATCATTAGGTAAACTCTCCAAACTTTATTGGCTGGACTTGGCAGACAACCAGCTAACAGGACCTCTCCCGGTTTCAACCTCGACATCCCCGGGCTTAGACCAACTTTTACATGCTAAGCACTTGTGAGTTGTTTAGTTATTCTATTTTCATTTCTTTGTTGACATTTGTGATTATTATATCAACATTGTTTTGGTTGGTATTTTGTGAAGCCATTTCAACAAGAACCAGCTTTCTGGTTCCATTTCTCCCAAACTTTTCCACTCTGACATGGTACTCATTCACATGTAAGTTCACATTTTAGCATTTATCGGTTTTTATAAGATCATATTCTCAATTTTCTTAGTGTTTGATCTTTTGTTTTCTTTTTGATAGATTGTTAGATGGAAATAATTTAATCGGGAGTATACCTTCTACTATAGGGCTAGTTCATACAGTTGAGGTTCTGTAAGTAGTTCCTTCCTTAACACTCTTCCTTTTATTTCCGTTATACCGAACTTACTCCTTTGTAGTAATTGATTAACTTTTTGTTGATTGTTTTAATTTATGACAGTCGGCTCGATAGAAATTTCTTGACAGGAGAAGTCCCTTCGAATCTCAACAAACTTAGTAACATCAATGAATTGTGAGTACTTAGATTTGAGAAGTGAACATGTAAAAGACGTTTATAACACCGATTAGTTGTTTTCTTACAGGAATTTAGCACACAACAAATTGTCAGGTCCTTTGCCCGACTTAACATCAATGGATACCCTAAATTATGTGTAAGTAATTCACATGAATTGGTGTTTCTACTTTCTTTTTCACTACAACTTTTGAAATGGCTAACGCAATTTAAATACATGATTATTTATATAGGGATCTTAGTAACAATTCCTTTGATCCATCAGAAGCTCCAACTTGGTTCTCATCTCTACCACAACTCACCACACTGTAAGTTTATAAAATTCCAGAGAAAAAAAAAGGTTTCTTGCTTATCAAGTTATGAAATCTAGCAAGGTTTTTTTTTTACTTCATAACCTATTACTATGCGTAGTATTATGGAGTTTGGACCTCTCGAAGGTACTCTTCCATCAGAACTCTTCAGCCTTCCTCAAATACAACAAATGTAAGTCCCAAACTTCTCCGTCGAAGATAAGTATACACTAGTGACAAATAGTGTCATCTTAAGTTTTTGGAGGTCATCTGTAGGTTAACCACAATTAAATTGTGGCAAAACAAATAGGGGCTCTTTGTTACCACCATTTTACCGTGACAAATATTTTATGAGATTCTATTTAGCCATAATTTAACTGTAGAAAATTTTAGACCCTGTGTGGGGGTAGTCTATCTTGCACGCGCTCGAAGACGGCCCTGCAAACAAACAATGTAATGAGTAACCATAATCTTTATGTTTTAAACTATTCTCAGAAAACTAAGACACAATGCATTGAACAATACACTTGAAATGGGAGACAACATTTGTCCTCAACTGCAGCTTGTGGATTTACAAGACAACCAGATTGCATCCGTAACAGTCGGTTCACAGTACAAAAACACATTGATGTGAGACATTTTTTCCTTTCTAATCCGACACACTTCGGCTCGGCTTGACCTGACTTATTCTTTACTTCTCTTCTACCTATGCAGTCTCATAGGAAATCCAGTATGCAGTACTGGTCCCCTCTCTAATACAAACGACTGCAACCTCCAGCAACAGCCCAAACAACCCTACTCAACTAGCTTGGCTAACTGCGGAGGAAGATCATGTCCACCGGATCAAAAACTCAGTCCACAAAGTTGTGAATGTGCATATCCGTATCAAGGAACGTTTTATTTTAGGGGGCCTTCTTTTAGAGAACTCACAAATATAACTATTTTCCATTCACTTGAAATGAGCTTATGGGTGAAATTGAGTTTAACACCTGGTTCAGTTTCATTACAAAACCCTTTTTTCAACGGTGATGATTATCTTCAAATGCAACTCGCACTCTTTCCACCAACAGGACAATATTTCAATAGGTCAGAAGTTCAAAGAATTGGATTTTCATTCAGTAATCAAACGTACAAGCCTCCGCATGAATTTGGACCCTATTACTTCATTGCATTTCCTTATTCTTTTCCAGGTAAGATAAAAATACAATGTGATTACAATTAAAACTTCTATGCAGCAGGTGACAGTGATTTAAATTATTTCAGATTCGCGCAGAGGAACTTCACTTAGCAGAGGTGCTATTATGCTGATAGCAAGTGGAAGTACATTTCTGATCCTGTGCCTTATAGGGCTAGCTATATATGCAATCCTGCAAAAGAAACGCGCGGAGAACGCTATTGGAATAAGTAGACCGTTTGGTAATTATACAAAGTTCTCACTTTGATTTTCTTGTTAACTACCATCAGCTCAAAAATCTCTTTCTTCCAGCATCTTGGGCACCAAGTGGAAAGGATAGTGGAGGTGCACCACAATTGAAGGGAGCAAGATGGTTCTCTTACGATGAACTCAAAAAGTGTACCGATAATTTCTCAGGAAGCAATGAGTTAGGCTTTGGTGGCTATGGCAAGGTATTTCGTTTGTGTTGACATACTTCTAGTTTAGAAAGATGTTTCCATCATGGTTATCACGACTCTCTAATTGGCTCTAGGTGTACAAAGGGGTGTTCCCTGATGGAAAAATAGTTGCAATTAAAAGAGCTCAGCAAGGATCGATGCAAGGAGGTCTAGAGTTCAAGAATGAAATCGAGTTGCTTTCAAGAGTTCATCACAAGAATCTTGTTAGCCTTGTTGGATTCTGCTTTGAGCAAGGAGAACAGATGTTGGTTTATGAATTCATCTACAATGGATCACTTCGGGAGGGTTTGTCGGGTCAGTTCACAGTGAAGAAGCACTCAAGCTCAAAGCTAAGCTTATTCTCCAAAAGAAAACAATTAATAGAATCTAACCAATGTGAGTTGCAGGGAAATCTGGTATTCAACTTGATTGGAAGAGGAGACTCCGTATTGCTCTCGGCTCAGCTAGAGGACTTACATACTTACACGAACTTGCCAATCCTCCCATAATTCACAGAGATGTGAAGTCAACCAATATCTTGCTAGATGAAAATTTGACTGCAAAGGTTGCGGATTTTGGCCTGTCTAAACTCGTATCAGACAGTGACAAAAGCCATGTCTCAACTCAGGTTAAAGGAACATTGGTAAGTAACGTTGTACCATTTCTTATGTTTTTGAGATCTTCTATCCTGTTTTTGTTAGTCGCAGGCCACAAAAAAGGCCTATAATGTCAGGCTCAGACCTTAAAAATTTATAGTAGATCAGGCTCAGGCCTGGCATGGCCAAATCCCACCCCTATTAGTTCATGCTCATTTGTTATTATCTGCAACTTGATAATAAAAAGCTTAACATCTGCAGGGCTATCTAGATCCTGAATATTACATGACTCAACAACTAACCGAAAAGAGTGACGTATACAGTTTCGGTGTAGTTATGCTTGAACTGATAACATCCAAGCAACCTCTCGAAAAGGGTAAGTACATCGTTCGCGAGGTTCGAACCTTAATGAATAATAGAGATGAAGAGTACCATGGTTTAATCGAAGTAATGGATCCATTGGTGAGAAACACTGCCAACCAGACAGGATTTGGCAGGTTCTTAGAGTTGGCAATGCAATGCGTCGAGGAATCAGCTTCAGACCGACCAACAATGAGTGAAGTTGTGAAAGCGTTAGAAACCATATTACAGAATGATGGTTTGAACACAAATTCTACTTCTGCTTCTTCATCTGCTACTGATTTTGGAGTGACTAAGGGTGCTGCAAAGAGACATCCTTACATTGATAATAGTTTTACCAAGAAGGATAGTGTTGATGAGAGTAATGCCTTTGATTATAGTGGAGGGTACACACTTTCAACCAAAGTGGAGCCTAAATAGATGATATACAGTTTTGTTAGACATGTCATTTTGTTTTTGCTTTTCATTCTCAAATGAAAACATTTACTTGTTCTTTACTCCTTTTTGTTTTTGTATAAGAAATGTAATGTTGTTTTCAGTAAAGATCTCTTTATTCATTTTGATTAAAGGCATGTGATAAATATAAGAATTAGAGTTTGACGGAATTCATTTTTACAAAAGTGGCTTGTAAGATGAGGGGTGTCACTTTATATAAGTTTTTTTTGGATTCTATCTTTAATCAATGTGGGACTTAGATTTTTTCCAATACACTATCTTACGCCCAGCACTAATGAGCTTGGTGCGAGGATATAAACGGTTGGTGGCCGAATTATATGGGATTTGGTTTTTCCAATACACTCCCTTGTGTCCATCACTTTTTTTGAGTTTGGTGCACATATATAAATGGTAGGTGGTCCGAATCGATAGACTCGTGATATCATGATAGAATTAAAGTTTAACCTAACTCATCCCTACAAAACCGCCTTTTAAAGTGAGAGGTGTCATTCTATATAAACCTTTTGTGGGTTCTATTTTTAACCAACGTAAGACTTGGATTTTTTCCAATATATACACCAACTGGTAAGTTAATAAATCATATTAAATTATGCCTTATGAAGGCTCATTTTGTGAAGACAAACTCGATATAGAGTATAGTTTTGATGAAGACAAAATAATTATTAAAGACAAAAGAGTTTTCAATCAAGGTTCAAGATTTAAAAAGCTTCTAAGTTAAGGAACAAGTATGCACAAGCTTAAGATGTCATGGAAATTAAAAAGAATTGATCATGAAGTAAGGTATAAAAAGTCAATTCATTTTGTATAAACCTTAAATGCTCAAAAATATCTTATCTCTTCATCTCTAAAGTTTTATCAATATTTATACATCATAAATATTCAAGCTACAACTTTTCAAAGTGCAAAAATCAAAATTTTCATTAGCGTAACTGACTACATTGTATATGTAATCGGTTACATACTGATTCTTCCAGAAATTGGTGACCGTTTTCAAATGTGTTAATCGGTTACACCAGTTATGTAACCGATAACACCTTGCGAATTTTTTAAAATTCTAAATCATTGGGTATTCAATTCAATGCAATTCTACATGAAATTTTTCCAATCAATTGTATCTAATCTAAGAGGTATTCTAGTCTTTATTTAAAGACAAAATCCATAGCTTTTTCAAATTACCTCTTTCACATATATTTCAAAACAATTCCAATTCATTTTAGTTGTTTATTCTCGAAATTCATTGAAATTTTTCTACATTATTTTATATATCATTGCAAATTTTCATATAAACCTTTGCACACTTAAGTTTTATACATTGTGAATTGTATATTGAAAGAGAAAATTAATGACTTATTCTTGGAAATTGTCTAAAATCACTTTTATTCAAAATCATCATATTATTGTAACTTGATCACCAATGCGCGGGGACAAGCAATTATAGTAGAAAGTAGTGTACTTTCTCTAAGTGTGAAAAATAAAGTGGTGTGCTTTCTTGTTTATGTTAGAAGATTGTAAGAGTGGTATTGGTGTGAGGCTTGCACAAAAATCTAACATAATAGAAAATTCTTCAAGATGTGAAGAGACGAGATGCACCATTTAATTATAAGGGGAATTAGGATAAATTCTCTTGTCATTTATATTCTTGCTCTTTAATTTCCTATACGTTACTGTTGTACCCTAAAATTTGCTCAACCTTATTCCTTGGTTCATGTTTTAATATCATCAGCATTTGCATATAGAGTCATGTACATAGACTAATCATCTGCATAGCATAAGCATAGCAAGTCATTCAACAGGGGACCAATCATTATTCTTATCTCTAGAAGCCTATCAAGAGGTTATCATCACAATTCAATCTCATTCAAGTCATCAGGAAAGAATTTGAAAGCAAAGAGTTCAGCAGATCAAGCCTTGAGTCCATCTCCTAGCTGAGGGGATCTGAGGGTCAACAAGAGGGTTATGAGCTGTGAATTGAAGGCATGGAGAGTAGTTAGCCATCATGAGAGACTTAAAAAGTCATTTGGAGAAGGAGACAAGCCATTGATGAGAGCACAATAGTTATAACTGAAGACAGTCAACTAGGGTTTCATCTGGGTCAACCCTAGGTCAACCCTAGGTCAATTGACTGATTTAAAGGGCATTCAAGGCTATTGAAGAGATGTGGGGTTCATCATTGGACATATAAAGAATGATATGGAGATATGACAAGAAGAATTCAAGAGAAATCAAGGAGAAGAGGAGTTACTAAATTAGGGTTTCTGTGTAAAATCCCCTAGTTTAGGTCAAATTTCCAAGCAAGATAAGTCAAAATGCTAGCTTCAAATGGCTTCTTGGCCAACATGAAACTTGTAGAGGATCTCAATACCTTTAATTTGAGTGGTGGAAGACATCAAGGAGATTTATAGAACTCAAGTTATGGTCCTTGCAAGTTACAGGTCATCTGAGGTGTCTGAACTTTTGTCTGTGAAAGTGACTTGACTTCCAAGTAATTTTTACCCCTCAAGGAGATTTCAAATGAATTCTTGGTCAACATAGGAATTGTTCCTCATTGTCTTAGCTTTCTAGAATGGTATGGTATGCCTTCATATGATGTGTAGAACTCAACTTATGGCCTTGACAAGCAAAGGGTATTTTGGGCATTTGTGAATTACAGGTCATTTTAACCTATGTCCAAAACTCATACAAGGAGGCCTCAAATGGAAAAACTTACAACATCAAACTTGCTCCAAATGGGATTTTAAGTCTAGAAAGAAGGTCACAAATTATTGGAGAAGCTCATAGCATGATGTTGCATAATTGGTCAAAATAAGAACTAAAAGGCTTATAAAGTGAATAATTTCAAAGTGAAAAATGGTTTGGGAGATTTACAAGTCCAAATGGAGACTTCCAATATATGATTTTGAATGGAAAAACAATTCTAAGAACAATGGTTCACACACTTTTTTGAGTTTAGAAGGGAAAAAGAAAGTTATCCATGGTTGCTTGCCTTTTAAGAAAAATAATCAAAATGAGCCAAAGTTAGAAAACAAGGGAATGTGCAAGATGGATCTAGAATGTACCATTGGGGTCTATATATTCATGAAAGGAGAATTTGGCAAGGGTTGGCTTCATTTGCACCAAGAATTCCACAAATTTCTCATTCTTGTTCATAAAAGTTTCATTCCAAATCTCTCAAATTCTTCATCAACTTTCATCAAAATCAATTCAATCCTATTCAATATTCATCATAGATCAGAATTGAAGCAAGGATCGAGTGATTATCATTCATTTTCGTGCACCATATTCAAGAACATCAAAATCACAATCTCAAGTGGATAGCATAATTCTGGCCAAGTCTCATCCAAAGCTTGCATACAGAATCAAGTACATCAAGGATTGATCAAGATTCAACACTTAGAAGCTTCAGATCCACATCTTCCATAGCTGTTTCTCAAGATTTCTCACTAGGTAAGTTTCCATTCAAACTGCTTGATCTAGTTAGTTTGGCATGATGTTGTTAGTTTAGATGCAATCTAGGTGGTTAGGAGATTATTTTAGATGAATTTGGAAAGGATTGGTGATGGTTGATGACAGGTGCAACAAACTGTTAGGGTGAAGATCTATTAGGTTAATGCATCATAATGTTAGTTGGATAGCGCAGGTTAATCTCCATTAGTTGTAGTTTAGTTTAGGTTAAGTTTGGGGAAGAATCGTGTTGATGCATATCAGTGGAATTCCATGGTGTCCAGACCTTGGCTTGATCGGATTTGTTGTTGTGATGAGTTTCAAGGTGAATTAATGCCCTAGGATTGTAGAGTGATGAATTCTGAGCATGTTTCATGTTTATGGCGTGGCGTTTCACTGCGTGTAGAAGGAGAACCGAAGGGTGTAAAGATTGCTCGTGCATGAGCTCACATGGTGATTGAAACCCTAGTTGCAGGTCATTTGGAGAAGAGACAATCGTGGCCGTTCCTTGGGCCTTGGACTCTTGACTTTTGGCGCGATCCAGTGGCTGTCGTTTAATCTGATTTGTGGAGGGAAGGACCTGGCCAAAACGCGCCGTTTCATTAATTGAAACGGGCGGGCCTGAGCGCTAGTTGCTATTCAAACCCCCAGCAATTAGGCCCAATGCAGTTCTAACGTGTTTTTGTTACTTCCCTCACCCCCCAGCGCGTTTATTATTTCTTTGATTCTGATTGTTGCTGGGCCTAGTATGAAGGCGCTATCTGCACCCCCTATCTGAGGGCCCATTCTGTTTATAACTGGGGCGAGCTTCTTTTAACACCCCTCCTTCATTTTAATTCCAATTTTATTTTCTTAATTCATTTTAATTTTTCATCCACTTTGAAAATTCATAACTAATTCATAAAAAATGCATTTTAATCCATTCTTTTTACAATATTTTCATTAAAATGTCTAGAATATTATAGGAAAATAAAATTGCATTTTTAGTTTTATTTCATATTTTTTCCATATTTTCTAAATAAATGTCACATTAAATAGTTTCATTTCATGGCTCATTTTAATGATTTTTGTTCTCTTACATGCTTTAATATTTTTTGGTCATTCTTTTCATATTGTTTAGATGAGATATCCAACTTGTAGAAATATTTTAGTTCCCATTTTTAGAGATTAATTTTAGGGGATTAATAAATGCTTGAACATCATGTACAAAACTAGGGTTTTAGGTGACAACTTAGGAGTTTGATTTCATTTCCCTTAGGACTTAGGGTTTGAATAGATTAGTTATGGGACTATAGGGGCTATGGGTAGTTACTAGACCCCTTAGAGAACAGTTAGGATTCCCCTACTGCTATTATTACTGTCTGTATATTTGATTATCTGTTGCTTGGTGTGCCCTCTGGGGTTTATTGTTTGCTTGCTTGGGTATTGGGTTTGTCTGGGGCCCTGGGGAAGCTGAAGATTTGTGAAGATAAAGCCATTGGAGATTCCAAGATTGAAGATCAACTGTCAGAGTTGGGGAGGAG